ACCCACCATGCGAGCATTCTGTGTTGCAATTGTCGGCCGGCTGCGACACGCTCCCACTTGTTTGAGCCGTGCAAACTTGCTTCGACGCACATGATTTGTTTTGGAACATGTCATGCGAGCATTGTGTTTGCAAATGGAGGATTCTCACCTTTACAGAACGGTCACGGGGGTAATGTCGAGGCGGCAGGTGGTCAAAATCAACAACATTCCGCAAAGATGCCAGGGCGTCGACCTGGCATGACCTGGCCCTTGCACTGCATGCTTCCTTACGAACCCATGCCCGTAGGATCACAGGAGCTCTGCCACTGCTTCTCACCTGCGCTCGCTCGCTGCCGGCAATTGGACGAACCTCTGAAGGATCACATTGCGGCACCCAAATTGGCCGAGAGACCGGATGCACAGTTGCCCTGAACCTTTGGCCTCGGGAGCTGAATGTCGATGCAACCCAGCAGGATAGGGGTTGGCATTGATGTTTGTCATTAAAGGGTTTGCTTCTGCGCAGGTTGTGGTCGACACCACCACGTTGGTGTCCCGTTGACATCTACTGGGCACCCCGCCCTTAACACTGCGACCTTAGTCGTGCAGGAGCAAAAGAGGCGTGAACAAAGTTACAAGAAAAACGCTTCCGAACATGTTGTGCTTGTTGCCCGCACACAAGTGCACGCAAGCAGAAGTGTCCCAAGGGAAATGTACGACACCGTGAAGAGAAACAAAACATACAATTGGGGCCCCGTCGCCCTCGCGCATGTGTGTGCTTGGAGCGTGTTTTTCAATTTGTTTGGCAGACAGCAGAACGCATAGGGACTCTGTTGGAGGTTAGTTGGTCTGGATCCGCTGCCAGGACTTCTTTCTGCCAGATGCTTGCATACATCGGACCCGGTGAAGAGAAGCACTCCCAACTTGACATTGTAAGCTGCGGCTGCAAAAAATTTTGTTATCGATTTTGTGCCTCATCATGGCTGGCTTGCCGTCGCGCCCCGAAATGAAGAGATTATGGCCGATGTGGTTTTTGTTGGCTTCCTGCGGCTGGCGGCTCGTTTCGTTGTAACTTGGCACAACTTGGCGTCATGGATGATGAGGGTGGAGCATGTTGGTCTTCATCACTGATTTCAGAATGTGTGAGCTTGCTGCTGCTGGTGTTGCCGGTTGCAGTGTGGGCAGCTGGCCAGCGCTGGGCGGACCCAGTCGCAGTAGAGTCTTGGCATGAGACGGGTTTTGAAACGGGCATTTCCTCGCTCGCTTGTTGGCGCAATGTGTTCCGATACAGCTCTTGCACCGTGGCAGCCGCAAGCGCTACTGTAGCTTCTCATCAGCTTCGTTTGACCATCCCGGCACGCATGACTAAGGTTCGCACATGCGCATGCATCAAGCTGCACCGACGAAAGCGGCACAGCGCACGGACACACTCACCGATGAATGGATTGACATCCAAGGCGACCGTGTGTGGGCCGTCGTGTAGTGCAGCCGTGGCACGATGCATTTCACCTATGTGGATGGAGGCGCTCGCGCGAAATTCGGGGCCAAGACACCCTTCCGAGTCAGCTTGGGTGGTGGCTCAGCATGATTAGCAGGCTGAGCAATCTTACCGAGGCCTCGTTGGTTTTGGGACTTGCTGGCATACATTTGTATTGACAGAGACGTCAATAAGGTGCGCCCGAGCTTGCCAAACAGTGGCTGTACGGAGATGGTCCAAGCGATGCTCGACTGTTCTATTGAACCATAGGAAGCCGTTGGTCGCCTTGCTTTAGATGCCTTGGATTGTCGCTGCCCCCGATTGTTGATTGTTTTTTTTTGAGAGTTTTTGCCGCCAGGATAACAGCATTGACCGGTTGGTGCAAGCTGGTAAGCCGGCCTTCTCCAAGATTCAGCGCTCGAAGGCCAGAGCTGCTCATGCTGAAAATCCCGTGGTTGACATTCTGAAAAGCGATGGAGTTAGTGTTTGCACTTCGGCTGCGGCCCGGTGCTTCGAATCTGTGCAGGACTTGGAGTCCAGCGCAACGGGCATGCAGGTCTATGAGTTTTCTTTGCCAACCTTGGACTTGATGGGGCTTCCCGGCTGAACACCCACGGCAAAGAAAGTCGCAAGTACTCCTAGTCGGAGTTGGAGAATTCTAGCAAGAGGAATACGGTCAATGACAAGGGGCTTTGTACGTGATGGTGCCATTGTGTACCAGCTCCTTTCGTTCTGCATGCGTTCCAGTGCCCGTGCGTCAGCTTCTCTAAAGGCTCGGTAAAGCAACCTCTTCTATCAATTTATTCGGCGCCATTCGGAACATGGACGGGACTGATGCCGACAAGTTACTTGGCTTAACAAAGCACATCAATTGCATAGGTTTTGATCTGTCATTCGGGTCCGCTCAGTCAGCCTTGCCGCAGGTTTTTAGATATCGGGACCTTCGGCAATCCCCGGGCCAGCATCCAGTTTGCCACGGGGGCAGCCACTAGCTCAGCATCCGACTGTTGAGGGCTATGGATGCATGTCTTGTTCTTCCCGGGAGCAGAAGGCGATGCAACCGGACCAGATGTAGTGTTCACAGGCTCTCAGTGAGAGTGTCATGCCATTCTTGCATGTGCACGCGTTAGAACCGTTAGACAACCATATAAAATCACATAAAGGGGTCCAGGGTCGTGAGCCGAACGATTTCTCCTGTGCAGAATTTCGCGGCAGTGTGTGGCCGCATCAAGGAGATAGCTCTGCCCATGTTCTCGTTGAACGTGACGGGCGCATTGAGCATCGAGGGCGATTCGATTTCGGAGCGAAGGCCACCGCCTTAGCCTCACAATGCTTATCCGTAAGGCCATAGTTTTTTCCACTGGGCCACTGGGCCTGAGACCTTTGATGTTTGGGCCTTTGGGCGATCAAGTTGTGTTTGCTGGTGCCTTCCTGCCATAAGCGACAAGAATGTCATAAAATCCCTCGCCCTGGGCCCAGGTCACAGGCGGTGGGCTGGGTGTCCATCGAAGTGCAAGGTGAGGTTCCGAGTGTAGCCGGCATTACACTTCCCGAGGAGGCCGCTGGGGGCTGGGGCATCGTAGCACTTGAACCAAGCAGCTCTCCCGAGACCTGTGGCAGATGTAGCAGTCCGGACCAGTCGTCGCTCCGATCGCGCGCTATTGTAGCCAAGCGTCCCAATTGTTCAATGATCGCAAGCGGTGTCTCCGCAAAAGGTGCTCCGCGCAGCAGCGAAAGAGGCCTGCCGCCAGACCTGCGCCTATGCCTCCCGCAAGCTGGAGGTTGTACCTTTGCTTTGTACTTCAGGGGGTCCTTTAGGGATGAGAATGTATGCGCTTCCCAGAGATGGCGTTGGGCCGAGGAGCTTTCTGAGGATTTCGCATCGTGGCGAGCAGAGCGGGTCCGGCGCGAGAGGTTGCGCAAGTAACGGAGCAGGTGCTTGACGTGCTTGCTTCATGCAGCGGCATCCCCACATCCGGAGCACTGTGGTTGCTGTCGGTTCAGATTCAGATCCATAGGAAGCTGCATGCCAGAGCAAGGCCACCGGCTCAACTACATTTTAATTGGGTAGCCACTCACTTCCATCGGAAGGGACCTCTAAGTCAGCACCATGCAGCACCGGTTCAAAAGGAAGCCTGCCTAAAGGCCTAAACCCTAGTGACCCTCGTGTGCTGAGCTTCGAAATGCCTTCCGCATTGAGCCAAAGTTGGCGTTGAAGTGATCAGTACCCACCTCAGAAGTGGATTCTTGATTCGAAACATCCAGCAGTCATCGATCCACTTTTGTTTCTGGAACAGTTTCGGGCATAGAGCGGGCCTCGACGATCGACGCACTGATTTTCGACTGGTTGTTCCTCGTCCGTGTCATGTCAATGCCACAGTAACTGTTGTGCCCCTGTAGCTTGCCTCTATGGTGCTGGGCATGGTGACGGTGGTGAGTGATGACAACGATGATGGTAATGGTGATGGTGGTGGTGATGATGATGATGACAATATTCGGCGTGATGATGACGACGTGGTAACAGCGCTGTTGCTGCTGTTGTTACTGCTGATGATGATGATGATGATGAGAATTGTCATTGTTATACGACAGCGACACACTCAATGCGTCTCCGAGTGAGACTGAAACGACATCGACGATGACGACTCACCATCACCATCATCATCATCATCATCATTTTGCACAATGTCTTCCATTTTGCGTGTTGGTGAAAAGACTCGGATCCGTACTTCTGTCATTAGTTGCTGCCCCGGCTTTCAAGCTTCACTTCCGGTCGAGGCCCCAAGTGCCTTTTAATTTTTCAATGGACGCAAAGGTGTCCCTGACATACTCTACAGTGCGAAACAAGTCTCTTCGTGCACCAGACGTAGGCGAGCTTTCGCGAGCACGTGCAAGATGAAAAGATGACTGTTGCAATGCCATGCGGTGTGCTTTCTTCGGAGGTTGTCTCTGCATTCTGCCCAGGGCATGATAGGACAACCGCGGTTTTCGGGCTGGTAAGAAGCACGAGATCATATCCTCAGCCACCGAAACATCCCACCACAATCAGCACATGAAAAGCACAAGCCTAGGCATGCTAGGCACTAGACCAGCACATACTCCAGCCTTCCTCAGACCGTACAACCACTCAACATACTCTGCGACGCGCGTTTCTTGATGGTGCCCGGTTCACCGGCAGGCTTGGGTGGATGTCGCCACGTTCTGAGCATCACGTGTCATCCGGGAACACGGCACAGCAGCGGCACATGACACAAAAACTAGAATGTGACTTTCGGAGCATTGCAGAACCATGTCGTCAGCTTGACTAGAGCACCTGCAATTGTTCTCTGCATGGCATGCTCCTGCTTAAATCGGTTGCTCAGAAAGGTCCGCTTTTCTCCTCTTGATCGCTGCTGTTTGCCACGCTCATGCGATGCATCTGAGGATCCAGCCTTCTAAGGCATCGACGATCAGTGCAGAGGCATCAGGGGACGGCAGATTCAATGCAACATCGGTTGAAGATGATGGAGCTCCCTGCTCGGCTGTTGTTCTGTTTCTCGTGGAATCTATGAATCCATGTGTGCAGGAGTTCACCTGTGCTATCTGCATCTCATCACCTCTGGTGGATCCAGTGACCACTCCCTGTGGCCATTCTTTTGACAAGGCAGAAGAGGGTGATTCGTCTTTGGCACGTGATGTGTCCCTGGAGTTAAGAGAGGCTTGCTATGAGTCCTATCTGCACTCCTCGGCACTCCGGTCCGGACGACGAGAATGTCCTCTTTGCAAGAAGCCTGTGTCTACCAAATGTCCTGAGGTACGGCGCCTCAGAATTACATCTGATCTCAGTCGAGTCCAATCGCGAACTGCGGATGCAGCTGCTGGGAGGTTTCCGTTCTCCTTCGAGATGCAATTGCCCGCCTTTTCCCGGAAGGGCGGCGCAGATGTGAAGGCAAAGGCCTCAGTTCAGGTCGTACCGAGGCAGCTTTCCTCTAGGGCAGACGGAGTGACTGAGTGAAGGCGTTTTGTCCTGAAAGAGTTGCCCTGCAGCTGTCAGACCAGAGGTGAGATGTTTGAGGAGCTCGAGGCTCATGCTCGGGGAGGGACGAAGCTCACGGAGCATTTGAAAGATGCATCTGCAGTAGCTCTGCAACGGTGGACGTGCAAACGGGAAACTGTTCAACAGTCACTGTTGCTGTAGTGGACCGTACAGATCGTCTGCTAACTACTACGTGAAGTGGACTTGCTGCAGGCCGGCGTGGTTCGAAGCGAAACCTTCGATTTCTTGTTGACACGGCTCAGAGCTGCCGGCCAATGCCAGGGGCTCAGCCGAAGAAGTGCCAGTGAAACACGATACAAGGACGACGCACGTTCGCTGACAGTGTTTTCACGAGAGTGAGATTTGGTTTGGATCCCGGAAGCGTATGTCCAGGCGAAGACACAGGCTCGCTGTTGCAGCTCCTCTCGCTCTTTATCACTGCCATGACCCGGGAGCCGTCGGAGCTGGCGACGAGAGGGAGGGTCACGGAAGTGAGCATCCAGCGGGCCTTCCAGGCCGGGTGCTGGGGGACCCGATATAATCCGACTTGATGCGTCGCCTTCCCGTGTCAGGAGCTGTCCAAGACACTGCTAGAACTCCTGTCCCAAGAGCCAGCCGACAACGCTGGTTATGGCACCCTCCTTGAGGTTTTGCAACAGGTTCCTCGGCTATGTGTGGTTGCGTGCTGAAGTTCTCACAGGTGTTCCAAGCACGAAAACCTCAGTGAAGGGCTGCCTTGCTTGTACAGTACAAAACAACCTCTCCTTCCCTGCACTTGGCTCTGACACTCATCGATTTCTCTTCCTCTCACCTCTGTTTCTCACCCTTTTCTCTGTTCATTTCTCTGCCTGCCTCCTCCCTGTCTCTCTCTCTCTCCCCCCCTCTCTCCCTCCCTCCCTCCCTC